ATGATTGATGATGATGACTGATGATGTTGATGGTATTAATAAAGTCACTATGACTAGATGATGATGATTGATGATGATGACTGATGATGTTGATGATATTAATAAAGTCACTATGACTAGATGATGATGATTTTTGTTGATGACTGATGATGTTGATAATAATAAAGTCACTATGGCTGGATGATGATGATTGATGTTGATGACTGATGATGTTGATGATATTAATAAAGTCACTATGACTAGATGATAATGATTGATGTTGATGACTGATGATGTTGATGATAATAAAGTCACTATGGCTGGATGATGATGATTGATGTTGATGACTGATGATGTTGATGATATCAATAAAGTCGCTATGACTAGATGATGATGATTGATGATGATGATTGATGATGATGATTGATGATGATGACTGATGATGTTGATGATATTAATAAAGTGGCTATGGCTAGTTAGCCACTGGTCAAACGTTACTGCTAATTGTAGTGAAGAATATACACGATTAAGCCGTGAAAGTAGGCTTTATTCAAGTAAACCATGTGCTTACACAAACATGGCCGTCGTTACAAAACGTGAGATTCCGCTGACCTAAGGCAGGCACTTACACAGGTAACCCAACAACTAGTAATTACTAAAGAGTGTTTTTGTTAATGTTTGGTACATTAATCACTATTATCAGTACACTAATGACTATAACAGGGCTAAAAATAACAGCTGATCATCAGACAAGGACTGGCCAGAATTGGAACTTGTCTAGTCAAATCTTTACCTTGATGGTCATTTTGTCAGGTAACGTACAACCAGAAACAAAAGCTAAAACTTATTTGGTTAGTTATCATGAACGGCGACTGACAAGCCATTATTTTTAGCCTTAAATTTCCTTTTTCTAATAATATCAATAATAATAAATAATAATAATGGGATTAACAGTGAATTTAGAAGATTTTTGTTGCAAAGGGAGGAAAGCCGGAGAACCCGGAAAACCCTTGAAGCACAGGAGAGAACCAACAAACAACTTACATACAACACTGCTAGCGTGTCGGGACTCGAACCCAGGTCGCATTGGTGGGAGGTGAGCTCTCTCACTGCTATGCCACCCATGCTTCCCATGTTTCTTATGAACATTCTTGTCATTATCATCATCAACATAATAGTCATAATTTGTCTAATTTGTCTGTAAAAGCGACTATTCCTTTAATCTTATACTTGCCCTTACAATACCATTAATACCTTATTCTATCATACAAATTATCCTTCACAAACTGTCGAATCAGCAAACTTGCTTTATCGGAGAGAACAGATCTCTGGAATGGCAACACATTAGGTGCATTAGACAGCCTGATCTTGATGTCTTTCAGCTCATCTTGATATTGCTTCAAAGGAAGTGATGGATCTTGGATGGCAAATACTTTGACAACACATAGACCTTCCCTGAAAGACATAATGTGGAGATGCAATTTGAATTGAGGCTTTGCACCATCACGTGACGGCAGCCATGTTAGATGGCAGGAACAATGCAATAGTCTTACATGAGAAAGAATCCAATTCCTGAGAGAAAAGGGATCTTATTGTTCTGCCATCTAACCACAAGCAGTCCAAGCTGTATTATGAGTGCCAGCACGAGGTGTAAAGCCTCTATTTACTGGGGTTTTTTCTTCTCATTAAGGGTCGAGAATCAGAGAATGATCCAGTAGTGGAGCAAAATTCTCTGGCTTAAAACAATCATCATTAATAGCTTTAGTTACTAATTTGTAAAATGCTCATTTGCAGGACTCTCCAGCAGTCCAGGCCTTTGTTGAATAATAGATCTCTTCGGCTTGGGGTAATGTTTTCCCATTTCAGACCATGTGTCATTCCCTTGAGAATAAGATTCTTTGTTTGATCTGTATCCATATTCATGTGTCTTCTCATGTGCAACTGAGTGCAAACCTTAAACAAAGAAATGATACTCTAGGGAATAACATGTGGTCTGAAATGGGAAAACATTACCTCAGAGCCGAAGATGTCTATCCTTGAATATTTTTATTTTTAAAACTGTTTAGGGATCCAATCCACAATCACAAAAAACTATAACATTTTAACATGAACTACAAAAATATAACTCCTTACTTGTGTTGAGCTCTTGCTACCTTAAAGAACCTTGTACTTCCAAGACTGTTTTATTCAGATAAAAATGAATAGTAAATAAAGCATATTAATAATATTTTTAGATATTTTGTCACCTGTCAAGTGTGGGACCCAGGCACTACTGTCGCAGTTCCTTTGTCCCATCAGTCATAGACCTAAGGGAATTAAGTTGTCAACTCGTATTGTCCAATAGTACATATATTCATTACTTTACAATGGTCCTTAATGAAAGAAAAGAACACATTTGTACGCCATCAAGGCTATGGGAGTATTGAAAACATCTAACAAAAATTTAACTGACAGCCATTTAAATTGATTACTGATCATATCAATATTACTATATTTTGTAAGGTAACAAAAATAGGTGACCACAATAAGAACAATAAGTGGAAAAATCAGTGTACAGCATATTTATAAGCTGGGCATATCATAGTATTTTTAGAAAACTTATATTGTAGCGAAAATATTTTAGGAAACGTATGAAAAAATACATTTCCTAAATCTTAAACGAGATTAATTAATAGAAACTGACCAAGAATCACATATTTCATTTTTTTTTTTAATTAAAAAATCATCAAAATTAATCACTGCAAAATATTGCAATCGTTGACTGATTAGGCGTTGGTGCTGCAAATTCTGATAAGCAAATATTTAGAAAGTACTTCCCCTAAAAATTAAGTCAAGATATGAAGCACTACATGTACTCGTGGGAAGGACTGAATGGACAGACATTCAACGAAAGAATAACAATTCATTAGACTGCAACGCAAAGCTTGGCTGGAATGAATAGAATCGGCTCGAAATAGGTGTGTTTGTAAGCCCAAGTGGTAATTATTTCCAATGCTTACCTTCCATCGAATTCGTAGTCTGCTAAATCACTGAAATAATGATCGACACTCAGGATCTGAGAGGGTGCAATGCCAGTCAACTGGTTTCCCATTTTGGGTGAATTTCTGGTCAAAACGCTAGCGAACCAGAAGTCCTAGCAAAATACCACTCTTAGATCTGTTTTATCACTTTTAAGGCTTCATCATTGGATAATGTTTTTCCTTATTTTAAGTGTTTTTCGTGTCTAGATATCATTTTAGCCAAGCATTTCTTACACTTGTGAAAATGTAAACCAGCTGAGTAACCCTGCCAAAGGGAGCCCAACTTGAATATCTCGTTAGATTATACTCAAAAAGTTTTTGATCAATAAAATTCTAGAAATACTGGAAACAAAACCATAACAGAGACAGTATAAGACTAAAGAAGTAAACAATTGTACTTAAGAAAAGTATTTCTCAATTATTTATTTCTCTTTTTTTCTTTTCCTTACTTATTTCAATTTCACAGTTTGGGCTTCCTGTGACCTCAACCCTTGGTGACCTGGTAATAAAATAAACCCCAAAATAAACGAGAATAAAAATGAGAGTTGCTTTCGTTTTTGATGTTTTTTATTTAATTCACATTCATCAATAGTGCTTGAATTAACTCGCAATGTCTGATCATATTAGTGAACATTTATCACGATTATTTCTTAGATATTTATCTAAGCATCTTATGTTAGCCCTGATTTGACTTGTTCAACGATCGCCATTTAATAGTAGCGGCAGACCCACTTACACGGATAGCCGTAGACACACTTCAGGTAGCAATAGCCACAGACGTACTTTTTCTTGTGAAGGTAGTCGCAGCAAAGCTTGAAGCATTTATGCACTTTCTTTTTGTACTTGACTATGCTGTAAACACACTTCTTGTAACAACGTCGTCTTTTGTAGTACCTAACACAATACACTGGCTTCTTCTTGGACCCGGGGTCTGAAAGAAATAAGAACGGGGGGAAGGAGAAATTAAGTCGTTGTTATAGTAATTGTAACTTACGTAGTCTTTAAAAAAACGAGTAGGAGTGTTTTATCAGGTATAAAAGCACGAGGCGTAGCCGAGTGCTTTTATACCTGATAAAACACGATCTACGAGTTTTTTGAACTGCTTAAAACACTCATGAACAATTTATAAGATTTTGATTCAACTGGAGCCGCCATACACGTCACGAACATGGATTTTTATACTTCGATAGAGATTTGACGTCACGGGCATGCGCAACCAGATTCAATAGAAGCTCCCACACGTTGGATATTGCGTGCCAAGGCAAAGACAGGCACGTTAGTCAAAGATCATTAGGGTTGGCTATGGGCTTGATGAAGCTCTATGTCTTAATCTAAACTTGGATGCATACTTCATCCCTGATGATGTCATCCTCATAGTATTCGAGTGGTCTTTATATAAAGATCACATGTGTCTTTATATAAAGACACATGTGTCTTTATATAAAATCACTTGAATACTAATGAAGAGGACTTTATCGGGTATAAAGGTTCATGCACGTGACGTGTATGGTGCCTCCAATTGGTCCATAAGCTTATGAATTATTAATAAGTGTTTTAAGATAAGGTTGAACTTCCACATTGGCTTGTCATTTACGCAACAATTACACTCTCTGATTGATCAGTAAAGACCACTTCTCCCGGGGGGAGGGGGGTACTCCCTTTGTTTTCTCTTTCTAGTAAAGGCGTTTCACTCTATCAGTGAGATGAAATTTTGAAAAAATTGAAGTTATCAACTAAAAAAACCTGATAATTTTTTTTTTCAGAATATAGTTACAATACCAGTATAGTCGCTTCAGAATATTGATAATTCGCCGCTATTTTTAGTCAAGTGAAGCACACTCTCCCTTTAGTTAAATCTCATTCGACAAACCCATCTGAAGAACTTACAGCCCATGAAGTAAAACACATAGTAGAAAAGATTAAAAGTTTTCAAAATCTACGACGGCGACGTCAACTTACTCTCCTTTACAGCCGTTCTTAGTGTTAGTCCGAACGCTTAACCCTACCTAGTGGGGAGGGATTCTCGAACCGACAGTAAGATCGACTTTGAAGACGCGAATCCCCGAATGAACTACGAATAATTTCTCATGTAAACTCTGAAAAAAACCGCGGAGATCGAAAAATTGGTTGTAATCAAATAAACATCATTTAGTATTATCATTGAAACAAATCATTAATAGTATAAAAATCTATAAACACTTATTTGATTTGATAAACCGCGACATCTTACCAGCAGCTAACGCCTCGTCAGAGTCCTGCAAGTCAGTTGAGTCCACTTTAGGTTGATCATTCTCTGCTGGCAGGGCTCCAGCCAAAACGATCAAACCAACAAGAAGAAGAAAGGCAAGCTTGATAGACATCTTTACTGCTTGTGTTTGGTGCTTCAAATAACTCACAAAAAAGCTTGTTTCGAGCTGCTTTTATAGCCAGCTTGTTTACCACTGAAACTCAGCGAAATCAAAAATAACTCGATTATATCTTATATTGGATTCACAACTAATTTTGAACAGATTCAGTTGTCAAGTTATAAATACTATGTTTTGCATGAAATTCCATTTTCTACAAACGCTTGGCGTTAAAATAGACGTAGCATTTATTGGACTGAAGAGCGCTGCCATTTCTATGACTACTTTTTGAAAATAGACTTTACATAGAAACTGAACTTTTTTTCCTCAGAAACAACCTCACGGCAGGTTGCAGTACCTTCTTACTTACCTAAAATTCATTGAGTTACTATAATCAACTTAGTGTTTACAGACTTAATTGTATCATCACTCTATAATCCCACATAAGCATTTATTGTATTATTTTCAATTTCTCTTTCTCTTTCAAAAGATTAATTTGGATGGTTCCCATTCGCATTCTTTCGAGGGAAAAACTATGACTTATGTAATCAGTCTAATAAAGTAGTATAGCAATAGGACTACATGTCTGTCCAATTTGGAAATAATTGAATTCAAAAATTTCCTCTGACTGCCAAATTGGACTCAACCTATCTGCCTCTTCCAATTTTGTCAGTCCTCGGAATTTTTTTCATCCATTTTTTTCCAAATTGGACACTGGCATGTAGTCCTAATACTTATATTAATTGGGTGTGAGCAGAAGCTAAGAGGTAATGCTTGGCTATAAGCGTGGGAAGAGAGGGGAGGGGAGGGTAGGGAATGGGATGGAGACATTCTTTCGATTAAAAATCCCGACGTGATGTGTCTGCTAAGATTTCTTTGATTTCAAAAAGGAAATTATTTAGTTGTACCTATCATTTTCTCGTAACATTTCATTTTATTGTATAGTTAGGATAATAGTACGTGCCCGCTGATTGGTCGAAAACTGTGCTTTATTAGTAAACGGGGCACAGTGCTGACGTCATACGCGCACGCGAAGTGCTGCTAGATCCTGCAACCGTTTTTCTTTTTGCGTAAATAAATTCAATACCGAAATAAAATTAGTAACTTTATAATAAAACGAATAAAAAGTTTTTTTTCCGTGCTCCGTTCAGTAAGCACTCAAGAAGTGTTTGAAGCACTCGTYTACGGCTCGTGCTTCTTCTTTTGTGCCTACGTCACTTATTAAGCCCCGTTTACACTGGCCATTTTTGCGTCGATTTTTGCTGCGATTTTTGTGGCAATTTTCGGAAATATGAAATATTTTGTCTCTTCATTCAAAAGAGACATTCGTCTAGGAAAATCTTGGTATCCTGAAAAAAACTTTACAAGTAAATTCTTTACCATTTTTTGTTATGGACAAAATTGCAAAGAAATCGCAGCAAAAATCGCCGCAAAAATCACTAGTGTAAATGGGGCTTTACTGAACGGAGCACGGAAAAACTGTTTTATTTGTTATATATATTGTGAAATATGTTCCAGTTCCGCGCGCGAATTGGCTGGCTACCGTGTATATATGAGAAGACAGCCAGACATGTTGGGAGCTGTAGAGCACTTGAAAAGCAAGATAAACCCTCTTGTGCTCTACAGCTAGCTCTCAGCGTGTTTTTATCACATTACAGTGACCAACAACCTCAGTAGTGGTAGCCCGTTCAACACGTCTAGTCCGATATTAATTTGCATACATTCCTAAACCCTACCTTTTAGTTGTTGTCAAGGTATAGTTTGTTCTCGCAAGTTTATATTTTCCTCATACTTGAACTGAGCATGGTTACCATGGGGACAACTCTTTTTCGAAAAATAGACTTTCTAGAAACTTTTTTCGTCAACTAAAGTGTCTCTTTTATAGAAATCAGCTAGTAAGTCGAAACGTGCTGTACTATTTTAGTGTATGGATGTTTGGGTGTGGACGAGCCGGGCAATGCTGATAACAGTTCGAGGAGAGGATGGATAGAGTGGAGAGGAGGAGAGGGAGGGGAGGGAGGGGAGACGAAATTTCCTTCATTTAAACGAAGTGATGTGCCTGCAGGCCCGATTTCCTTATTGGTTCCCAACGAGAACTTCTTTTTTAACCGCGACAACATTTTCTCAACACATTTATCGATAGTTCGATTGCCTTAGTAATCACATTCATTGATTTGCAGATATTATTTTGCAGGCGTAGCTCAGTTGGTTAGTGCGCGACCTTCAGAGCTTGAGGTCCATGGTTCGATCCTTAGGATCTCCATATCTGTTTCGACTTCTCTGTAATCCGTGTAGCTGCAGCTTTAAATACTCTTAAAACAGAGCACTGATGGAGAGAGGGGGTAAAGTGCGCACCGTCGGCTTCCATTGATAGCAGTTGAATTTCATCTGAAGGAACTACCGACGTTAAATATAGGTACTTTACTTTACTTTTACTTTTAATCCCCTAAGGGAATGTAAGTTTTTTATTGGGGGAGGGCTGAGGCTCCAGAGGGTAATTTTGAACCTTGTGGAGGGTCGAACTTTTTATTTTGTTACCTAAAAGCTGTTTTCTTGTTTTCCTTGTTTGACTTGATAGGAGAGTCATGAATTTCTTACTGAGTGAAAGGGAAGTTTAATTGACGTTTACTAAGAACTCCCATGTCTCCAACCCTCTAATAGAAAAAAGAGGCTTTCCTTAATCCCCCTGAACTTTAAAAAAAGGAAAATAAAAGCAGCAGTTCCGCGTTTCTTCCAAATATAGCAGTTTATTATTATCATCATTAATAAACGTGTTTGAATCCGGCTATCAGAAGGAGACCAACGCAAAGAATTAAAATCAGCAAAAATACTTATATATCAGTATATATATTCATATTTATATATATCCATTAAAAAACAGTGATCCTGATCTCATATTGATGACATAAATTTTCTTCCAAAACTTTTATCAAGATTATCATTGAACTTCTATATAATTCCATTTCTGGAGAAATTTGTTCAAAGAAGGCAGGGTTATAATGTGTAGCCTTCCAGGAAAGGCCCATTGTTGTCGTCTGTTTTTGTTGAGTTTTTTCACTTAAGTGGGTTTTGTTTATTTTGTTTTCGATAGTATGATCTGTTACAGCACACTCACAGCCATTATACCTACACGTCCATCCTTTACTTTTGATCCCTGATCCCATTATAATCAGTGTACTACACGCATTTCCTTCAATCATCATCTACCAATATCTGGTTGGCTCAGTTGGTAGTGGTAGCGGTAGTGGTAGTGGTAGTGGTAGTGGTAGTAGCAGTAGTAGAAGTGGTAGTGGTAGTGGTAGTGGTAGTGGTAGTAGCAGTAGTAGAAGTGGTAGTAAGAGTGGTAAATCCTTCCCTTCTCCTCCCTTCCTCTCCCATTCCCATAGGCTGCTGACAGGCTAACTTATCTAAGTATCGAGTGTCCTTATTACCTCGTGCAAGCGATACCAGTAAGCAAAGGAACGATAATCAAGCGAGTGATACCACGTACCTGAAACCCATTGCGCCTTACATTCAGTAATTCTATTCGAATCTTCCTACCAAATTTCATCTAATTCCTATTCACTTCCGGCCAATCAAATTCAGGTCAAGAAAGGAAATAAGAAAAAAATTTCCGAACTGTCCTATCTTCAGGACTTGAATAAGAGCTAATATTTGCCTAGTTCTTGTCATTTACAGTCTGGTTTTATTGACTAAGCCTTTTTTAATCGTGTAGAGAGCGAAGAACTAGTATAATGGAATACGGCACTGAAGCAATATTGATGCACTAATAAAAGAGCTTTAAAGAAAGCCATTGCATTTTTTATCGTTATGACTTAAAAAACTGTCGGAACTGCTAGAAAGGAACTGCAGACATATCAGAGATGCCTAGTGCTATGTTATTAAATGAATAAACCTGGCTTGGTCATGAGGAAAGTACAATAACGATTGCGAATATTCAAGGTTAGTACATTTACAAAGAGCAATTAATTATAATTCCTTACGAATAGATGTCAAATGTGGTTCGGAATTTGGCAAAGCTACAAAATGTTTGACGTAAACTTTCTTGAAAAAATCAAATGAACCCGAAGCAAATGTTTGGCGCTGGCCTAAGTGTTTTGTTTTTGATCTAGTTTGTCATTATCTTATGAAAAGAACTTGAAAGTATTAATTTTAATATTCAGTATTTTTGGGTTTCCTCTCATCAGCTCAACACGATGACACCTGCACAGGAAATCACTGACAAAAATAAGCCTATGTTCGGTGAACCTTTAAGGTTTTGATTTAACAATCAAGTCTCTTACGGGAAGAGCTGTGATTCTTTATGCTTGAATACAATTTTGTGGTTTGAATTTCACTGAGATAACTTTGAGTCCAATACATATGTCCAATTAAGTAAGGAGAAATAGTACGTGCAGTAAAAGATATTCCTATTCCAATATCTACCAAAATCTTACACCAAAATGCAAAACTCATTGTCATAAAGATTGAAACATCCCTGTAGGTGGTGGTTTAACGTGACCGAATACAAAACTCGCTATCAGACCTTCGTATTAGCGATTGTTACTGTTTTCTACAGATTGAAATTCAAGAAATGCTATCTCTTGACAACTGAGGGCAAAAATGGAGCTTATTCTTGCAATTTCTCTTGGATTTGTCGAGGAAGTTTATCTACGAATCTGCACAAGTAAGTACAAATTTGATTTGTTTTACGTTTTTGTAAGTTTTCTATGTACGAATAGTGTGTATTTTCGTCGATAGCTATATGGAAAAAAGAAAACAAAAACAGAAATCAAAAAAATTAAATTGCCTAGAACCATGTTACTTCACTATCATCCATAGCAAATGGCTGAAAATGATAAGCACTGATTAAAGAAAATAGTAATTGCTTATTATGGTCGTTGCAGAGCACTGCTGCCTTCCCTATCAGGTAAATGATAACAGGAAAAAAAACAATAATAAAATACGTATACGAATTTTTAAAATAAAAACAAGTCGTCACACACGTTCTGTGTTCTCTTTTAATTTCAAACATTACTTAGTTATAGAACGATATAGACCGCTTCAAACTGATTTTAAGTTGAATTTAAGCTTAGATATAGCTCGTGCCAAGAATG